AAAAAAAAAAAAAAAAAAAGGCAGGGCCAGGTGCTGAAATATTAGTTCCAGTGGACATGGTCCAGCAGAAAGGAAACCTAGAATCTGACTGTAGAACTGAGGTGGAGGTATGTCAGGGCAAATGTAAAAGTCAGTAGGAAGAATTTAGAAAAAAAAAAAAAAAAGGAAGTACTGAAAATATTTGAAAATGGAACAGTTTTTCTAATCTATAAACTAGGAACAAATTTAGGTGGCAATATAAGAAATGGATTAAAGTGCTGTGACATTTTTAAGAATAGTGTCAACATTTTATTTGTACAAAGATTTTTTTCCCACCATTTTCTAAAAAGACCTGGAGACAGCTTACATGATTTAAAAACCAAGTTTAGAGAACAGGAACCAACTAAAATACAGGCAATAAAATAAGAAAAAGCTGAAGTAAGACCCCCCCAGGCCCCATCCCCCCAAAATCTAGATACTAAAACCACCACATGATGTTAGGCAGGGCTCTCTGGAGAACAGAACCCATACGATGTGTGTTTTTCAGAAACGGGGGCTTGCTTATTAGATTGGTCTACACACAGTAGAGGCTGGGAATCCAGCAAGGGGTATCTGCTCACTGGAAATGCAGAGGACCTCAGCAACCTCAGCCTGGGATTAAAGCCTGGAAATTTCCCAGACAGTCAATGGTATACAGTATATGTTGGAAGGCTGAAGGAACTAGAACAGCGGTTCTCAACCTGTGGGTCTTGACCCCTTTGGGGGTCTCATCAGATCTCCTGCATATCAGATACTCGATAATTCATAACAGTTTTGAAATTACAGTTATAAAGTAGCAACAAAAATAATCTGGTTGGGAGTCACCACATGTGTTAAGGGTCACAGCATTAGGAAGGTTGAGAACCATTGCCATCGAGTCTGGTGACAGCAGGAGCAGCAGCAGCAGCAGAATGTGCAGGCGTGCTTTTCTTAGGATCCCTTACTAGTACATACATGTGGAGGGCTGTATTCAGTATAGCTTTCAAATAATTTCAGAATCAATTCAAGAGAAATAGCTGCATTTAAAATGATGATTCCTGAAACATGTAGAATAAAGTTTGGAAAAACTTTAGTAAATAGTACTGCAATCGACAGTGAAACTCTGTGTAGCACTGAAAAAGGTTGTGGGAACCTGCTCTTACCTTTTGAAGGGTTCTTAGGTGGAGGAGAAAAGAATTAAATGATAGAAATAGAGACCTAGACAGAGAAAAGAAAGACAGAAACACAGGATAGCTTCCGGAGGGCCTGGATTAATACCCACTAGCCTCTTAATAATTTAAATCTCAAATGAGGGTACAGAGCTTAACTCCATGCAGCTCTGAATCAGCTTTCCACTCAGAGCTTGCAAGTAGCTGGGATTACCACAGCAGTACTCCTGTTCCCTTTGGCTTCCAAACTTCCAGTAAAGGAGTAGAGGATAACCAAGATAGATGGCCTTTTTGAATTGGTCTAAGATGTCTGTAGTAGTTTCAGCTGCACCAAGCCCTGTTTTAAAATCAATAAACTTATGAAATAACTGCATCAAATAAATCAGTAAACTCCTGATGCAACCACATCAAACCTAAAAACTCCTTAGGATCACCATTAACAGGTTAACATCATAATTCTATCGTGAATATTACTGTACACAATTGCATTTCTTACAAACTTACATCCCAAAAGCAAACTCTCAATAGAACTATTTACACTTTACAAACTTTAGCAAATATCCAAAAGCAATCTCTTAATAAAACTCCTTACACTTTAAAGCAATCTCTTAATAGAACTATTTGCATTTCTTGCTAACAAAACATAAGGTACATTAACACAAGTTAACATTAATCCACTCAAAGGACAAGAAAATATTTTTTTTCAAAATTAAAGAGACTGAGGAATGTTAACTCACCCTTTCTTTATAATTTTTTAAGTTTCATCTTGAGGCAGAGTAGAAAAAAAACCCCAAACTTCTCCATTTCTACACAAAACAGATCATAAGTCACCACAGCTAATATATGCATACAAAGCATATATGCATACACAAAGCAATTCATAAGTCATTACAGTTAATGAAATCTATATGCATAAGTGAATTCAAAACTGTCCCATTGCAGTTGTACCATTCCTGTCCATCTTAAGTCTGAAAAGTTCAAAAAGACAGTTCTGGTACTAGTCTAAAAGTTCCTTTTAGTGCACGAAATCAGGGCCTGGCTCGTCAGCTGCCCTGAAGTTCCTGTATAGCAGTCCCAAGCTGTAATGACTCTGAAGCAAACAGCTCCAAATATGAGGAGTCCCACAACCACAACCTTTTGCAGTTCCCCTTGCTTGCAGCAGTTCAGTTCAAACCAGCTTCTCTGAAACTTTTCCTCTCCGCTACAGCTGTGCTTCACAGCAGTCTGTAGCCTTTCTAGGCAGTCTGCTCTAAGGTGAAAACTGTTAGCTGGCCTGGGCAGAGTCCTCTCAAAAGAAACCTTACAGCCAGCAAACAGAAACAGCACCTTTGGCTGCTGGCTCCTTTCAGCTGTTTACAATCCCAGTCCTGAGGTCTGAGGGTTCTCAATGACCTCACACCACAGGAGCTCCAGGTGCCTTCCAGTGCCTCCCACCTGCTACAAGCTGTGGCTTCCAAGGGTCCCATTACCTGCTCTGCAAGTGGTCCTGCACTCAGCACCCTGGGTGCTGGAAGCCTCCGTGGGCTTCCCTGCTTGCAAGGTTGGAACACCAACCTCAGGGCAGGGCACAGCTCCACCTCACTGCTGCTGGGAGCTCCAGCTGTTCAGCCTGGAGTGCAGCTTTGCCTCACTCAGCAGTTTCTGCTCCTGCTCTGCAGCCACTGCAGGGGACACAGACCCTGCCCTTGCCTTTACAGGGAGGATTTCAAGACTTCTGCTGCACTCTCCACTCCTAGGCACATCACACCCAGGCACTCTGTCAGCTAGCCGTCTTCCCTGGATCTGCAGCACTACCTCCACCATGGTCTCACCCTCGGGGGATGCTACTCTGCAGGGACCCCTGCTCACCACTGCTCAAAGTAGTCAGGCCTATTTCCGTATTCCCAGACACACACAGACAGACAGACAGACACACACACACACAGACACACACACACACATACACACACACACACACACACACACACACACACAGTCTCCTGCTCTCTGGCCCTCCTGGTGTGCTCACTGCAGGCATTCCTCTCTGGAAGCTTTGTGTCTTGTGCAGCTGCCATGGTGCCCTATGTGCTAGCCCTCCAGGTGCCCACTCAGCTCTCTGCCTGCTCTCTCCCAGGCATCCCTCACTGGTGACAGACCTGCTCTGGTTGCTGGGGTCTGAAGTCTCTGCTCTGCACTTGCCGCAATGCTCCTCCTCGCTGTGTCTTTTTCACTGCAGAAAGTATGCAGACCTTCACTGCGGGCACTGGCTCTCTCTCCCGCAGGTCTCAGCTGCTGATGCTTGGTCAGCCACTGCTCCCACTGCTGCTTGTGCTTGTGGTGGGGACTTGTGGAGCCACTCTCTCAGACCACCACGTCCACAGTGGCTGCTCAGTCCTGGATGCTGCTTTGTGTGTCCCAAGTCCCACTTGGGAAACCTACTCTGCTCAAAGTTACTATTATGCCTAGGACTTCACAATATCCCTATACTAAAGCCTATTCTACCCTGATATACCTAAGCCTACGTTTCTCAAACTAAACTTCAGAATACTTTTATGACTTACCTTGATTTAGTTTAATAGAGAGACAGAGACAGAGAGAGATACTTGCTCCAGCCTAACTTTAACTACTCTGAGTTTACAGTTTTACTCCTGAAGAACAGAATATCACTGCCTCCTTTAATTCATTACCCAGCATGTCCCCTTCTCCATGCTGTTCCTTCCCTTTATCCTCCACACCTATGTCTCACTTCAGGATGCCACCTGTTGGAGTCTGGCTCCCACCTTTTGAAGGGTTCTTAGGTGGAGGATAGAAGAATTAAGAAATGATAGATAGAAAGAGAGACCTAGACAATGAGAAGAAAGATAGAAAAATAGGATAGCTTTGGGAGGGCCTGAGTCAGTACCTACCAGTCTCGTCCTTTATTGAAAAGGGCTTTTTATAACATGCCAAGGGGAGAGGCCAAAGACCTCCCCCTTACAACATCAAAGCATACCATACAGCCAAGTGTAGATCCTTCTAGACACCTGTGACCAAATCATCTCCTTGTGCAGCCCTGCTAGGTAAAGCAAGCTCAGATTCTCTAAGCCTGAGTATGTTCTCACTAGGAAGCCTCTGTGGGCTCCCACAAAAGGGATAAGGTCTCCAACAGTTAGCACAGACACATATCTGTTGGTAAATTTATTAAAAGTGAAAGGTTGCCGGGCAAGGTGGTGCACATCTTTAATCCCAGCACTAGGGAGGCAAAGGCAAGTGGATCTCTGAGTCCAAAGCCAGCCTGGTCTACAGACTAAGTTGCAGGACAACCGGGACTGTTACACAGAGAAACCCTGTCTCAGGTGGGGGTAGCGGAGGGGCGGGGGGAAGGGGGGAGGAGCAAGGCATCGAGTACATTTTAAATGTTAGGTAAAAGGATTAAGAATATATATTCACATTGCCTTAAGTTTGCATGAAGAAACTAAGTAAAAGCTAACACATGATTATTCTTTGAAAGTTGACTGAGTTGGTAGTAGGGATTATGTGTCTATTCTAATCAGCACCTCTCTAATTTTTATTTATTCTATACTCTCTTATGCTTTTATGTAAGATATAAAATGATTTTTCTCAAATTATACATTATACTTCCTTTGGAGCAAAGAAAGTATACTACTTGTTAAATTTTTTATTTTACCATAAAGTGATTTTTTATAAATTCTATTCCTAGCTCCATATTTATTCTCTTGGAATGACGTTGTACTGGGGGGCCGATCACGAAGTACCTCAAAGCCAGGTAAGTGAAGCTTCACATTTGTGATGTTTCCATATTGACACCTATTTCCACCTTTTACAGAGCCCTTGGTGTGATTATGTGTGTTCTACAGCATGCTGCCAGGCACCCTGGCATCTTATCCTGTGTGTTGTTCACAAATTGGTCACATGTATGCAGTCAGAGTGAGACTGGACAACCTGTGAACAACACTGGGAACCCCATTTCACAGCTCCTGGAGTAGCAGAAACACACCCCAGGTTAATTCTCAGATCTTGGATTCAGATCATTGGGCTAGTTTGAGTATTTCTGTCTTAAAATAGTTCTTATTCCTGAAATCTCTTTTCATCAAAGCTAAGTTGTTACATTTAGTATTTCATTTAGGGATGGGAGAAGGCTCAGACGGTAAATTGCTTGCCCTACAAGCATGACAACCTGTGTTCAGATGTCTGTCACACAGGGTATGATCAAGCGTGTTTGGAGCACTAGTGCCTGGCGGATGGGGATAGGCAGGTTCCCAGCGCTCACTGGTCAGCTATGTGACTAATGGGTGGCTCCAATTTCAGTGAGAGAACCTGCCTCAAATAACAGTGTGGAAATGGATAGTGGAGGACACCCAGTGTACGCATGTGTATATCTACACACATACCTATCAGAGCACACACACACACACACACACACACACAGTAAAAGGAAGAAGAGGAGGACAAAGAGGAGAAAAAAATTGAGTTTATTTTAGTCATTTAGAAATACAAAAGCAGATTTTTTATTGAATATTAAAAGAATTAAACACCTCAAGCTTTTAGTCCAAAATTCATACATCTTAAAATTCATGAGATGAATGATATTATTCAACTTAGCTCAATTTAATTTACCTCTTGGAAATTTTTGTATATTTTCTTTCTCTCCTTAGTTTCAATTCTGTGAATATATATGAGGAAGTCAGTTGTTAATGGAGGTATTGATGTTATTTTTCATGCAACATAACTATCATATAAAATGTAGTAGTCTAATATTATTGCTTTGTATTCTTTTCTGATAACTATATCAATGATACAAAATAATGTAAAGTCATACTTTATGTTCATAAATCATTACCATTTTAGAAATGTTTAATATTAACTTAAAAATATTTAATATCTATTTTGTATGAGACGAAACACTAGATTTTAGACCTGCTATTGGCCATACCTGTAGAATCTACTAGAAGATACAGACAGCTAAATAGATAAATACAACATTACGTAATGAAGGCTCTATTAGTGGAAACGGAAGAACAAAGCTGGATCTTCCGATTATATCCCAGGGTTAGAATAGGTTTTTAAAGGAAATCTTTTTAAAGGAAATCACATCGAAGCTTGTGACATAAAGTAATGCATCAGTGGAGGAGATGTCAGTGTTACCTTTGTTAGAGCTTAGACAGGGATAGCAGTGTGTATATGTGGCCAGTATGTACTATTATTAGACTTTTAGTTCGTTAAATACGTTTTGGGGGGTACTGGGGATTGAACCTAGACCTCACACATGCCAGCAGGTATTTACAGTGAGCTGCTCCCAGCCCAGCAATGCTTTCTTGTAGTTTTTTTTATTTCTTGATGAATAATGATGTTAATTATCTTTTTATATGCTTATTGGCCATTTGGATGTAATAACTTAAAAATTAACAAAAATAATTTTACATTCTGATTTATTTCATCAGATTAATAGGGATCCCATTTCATTTAGCTGATCTTGAATCATTTCAATATCTGGAATCTTCTACCTTATACAAATATCAAATTATATAGAGAATATATATCTTATTGGATACTGAATATTGAACTACTGTCCCTATTTCTCAAATTATTTAAGTAGTGAAAGAATTCCAATTCTGCCAGACACGATGGCACATACCTTTAAGCCCAGCACATGGGAGGTGAGGCAGGAGTCTCTGTGACCAGCCTGGTCTATAGAGTTCCAGGTCAGTCAGGGCTGGGCAGTAAGACCCTGTCAGAAAAACAAAAACAAAAACCAACCATTTCTTTCTTTCTTTTTTTTTTTTTTGTTGTTGTTTTTCGAGACAGGGTTTCTCTGTGTAGCTTTGCGCCTTTCCTGGAGCTCACTTGGTAGCCCAGGCTGGCCTCGAACTCACAGAGATCCGCCTGGCTCTGCCTCCCGAGTGCTGGGATTAAAGGCGTGCGCCACCACCGCCCGGCCCCATTTCTTTATTACAAAATCAACAGCTTTTTTTAAAAAAATCACATTTTAAATCTAGGAAGACCTGTTAACTTCTTCCTATTAAGGTTTTCAAGTCAAATAATAGGTAAGACATAATTGCCAATAGAAAAGAATCCATTTCCTCCAACATTGGCTGTGGTCCTGAGGCTCCTAGAAAGGCTTTTCTTGTGGTAGATTTACCTACACTTACTAATGTGGCTTTTCCTTTCATTTTAGCCCATCAAGCTGGGAGACCATCTCAACAGCATTCTCCTCGGCATGTGTGAGGATGTGATCTATGCTCGGGTGTCGGTGCGGACCGTCCTGGATGCCTGCAGCGCCCATGTTAGGAATAGCAACTGTGCACCTTCGTTTTCCTACGTGAAGCAGCTGGTAAAGCTGGTTCTGGGAAACATTTCTGGGGTAAGCTACAGTTCTAACTTGAAAACAGAGTTATATTTTGAAATTCAGTAATGTCACAAGTTTTCTTTAAATGTACAGTAGCAGTTTTTCAAAATTAAGGGAAAAAGTGGAGTTTATTGTTTCAATGTTCATTGTTTACTCCACACAGTTCTTTAAAATGTAGACTTCTATTGTGGTTCCTCACATGTTATAAAAGCCATCCGTTTTTTAAAAGAACTTCGTTTTCCCGCTGGGAGTCGCCCGTCCTTCCCTGCTTTCCTGCTTTGCTCTTTTCCTGCGGAGCTCTTAGCACATCGCTGTAATCGCCTTGCAGTGGCCTACAAAATGAGTTTCAGAAATACTGGATGTGCCTCCTATTTCTAGACCTCTTTCATAGCCCTCATTTGTCAGGATCCCCTGTGTAATTCTCAGCCTTCTCCACGTTCTCTCGTGGGAGGTAATCCATAATTCTGTTGCTGCTTAAGACTTGGATACCTCCCTTTTCTCTCATCCGAGATGTAAAGAACTAAAGAATGAAATCCACATCTAATAATCCCACCTCTGCTGTTCATCCCTTAAGCTGTTCTGTCCTGTTCTCTCTGTCGGGGGCTGTCATTGGTGTTGGCATTCTGATCGGCATATATACTTACCCGCTCTTACAATGTCATGGTCCTTCAGTGCTTGTCCCTTCTGTGTGGCCTCCAGATTTGTCCTCTCACGGTATTCTCTCTGGCTTCCTCTTAATTCCTCATTCTTAGGAGGTTTGATTCCTCCATCTTAACCAGGATATTGCCTGGCACACGGAATATATGCATACCCCACACACTTTGCCATTTGGTGAGAAATGGGCTCAGATCTCCTAAACCAAATGTGGACTATCTTCCCACTAAACCTTAGAGATTCTTTGATGGGAAGGCAAATAGGTAATGGGGCTGGTGGATGGAATCCTCTTGTTGTGGCTGTTCCCATTTTATTTAATTTGTTTGTTTTATTTCTATATGTTCATTAAAAAGAAAAACAAAACTGAAGCTGCTAAAACATGGTGTGATTCGTAAGAGGGACATAGTCGGAATCTATGTGTCTCTGCCCCTATGGCTTTGCTCTTCCCTCAGCTAAAGCTATCACTGCCTCCAGTGGCTATTGTGGAAGATCAAGTTCCTTAAGATTTATCAGCTGTGAGTCACAGCAGGCCAGCTCCAGTGCCTGGGTTCTTCTGGTATTACAATATAGTCACCTTAATTTTGACTAACTATGACTATTACTATAGACCATCTGTCCATGTTACCTAAGACAGCTGTGAAGGTAACTGAGCTACCTTCAGGTGCTTCTAACTGTGGTTTTGCTATTTCAGAGCCTCTGTAATAGTTATGAAAGTAAGAATGATGTGTACCACACAAGGTTTTTTTTATCAAGGTCAGGTATAACATTTGTAGTGCACTACAGAATGCCTGGCATACAATAACTGTTTACTAACTGGCAGTTGTTATTAATAGCTGTCTCAAAGCAGACATTCACAAGTGTGTATAATATTCACTGTTTTCCTATCACCAACAGTGCGATATGATCTGAACTGATACTCGTTATTCAATTAAGGACAGCATCATTTCAGAAATACTTCATCTCAATCTTCTTTTAAATAGGAAATAAAATGCTTTGAACTGTGGCTATGCTACTGATACCGAATTTTAATTTACACATGAAGTTCTGTAATGGAGAAATATTAAAATGTGTGTGCATAGATAGAAGCGTGGACATAAGCCTTTGACTACATTTAACTTAGCATCACTATTCTGTTTTCAGTTTTAATCTATATGTATCCTGGTTTTGGTTGTCTAAAGAAACCAGTGTTCTCTAATTTTTTATCCTATGTAACATAGAGTTTGACATAATTTGGGCTTATTTTATGTAACTATCAATGATTACCATCATTGGAATTTCAGACACTGAAACGTTTTGTTACAAAGAGGATTCCATGGAACATCAATTTAAACTATTGCAAGCATATCCAGTTTAAGAACTTAGCAGACTGTAATTCTGGCAGACAGTATCTAGGAAATTACTTCTGAGATAATTTAAACTGGTATTCTCAATGTATAACTGTAACCAGAGGAAGTTTTATACTATAAAATAAATATAGCTTTAAAATTGTATAAGTCTATGCCGGGCGGTGGTGGCGCACGCCTTTAATCCCAGCACTCGGGAGGCAGAGGCAGGCGGATCTCTGTGAGTTCGAGGCCAGCCTGGGCTACCAAGTGAGTCCCAGGAAAGGTGCAAAGCTACACAGAGAAACCCTGTCTTGAAAAAAAAAAATTGTATAAGTCTAATTTGAGAGATGAAAATAGTTATTGGAAAGAGAAGAAAAGAATACCTCAAGATACTGCTTTCAAAAGGAGCTGATTTTAGGTCCGAGTCCCCAGATGCAGAACACTGTCTGTTGCCCCTTTCTGACGATGGACTGGCCCGTCCTGGTCCATGTCAGTCTTATCCAGGCCATAACAGTTACAGTCAGCTGTGGAGTCTCCTGACTCGGTGCTGAATCCTCAAGATTGGCTAGTATGCTATTCTGTGGAGAGTCACTGGCAAAAAGGGGAGATGATTTTATCAAACTTGACTTTTTGATTACCTGTGTACAGACGGATCAGCTTTCCCGTAGCAGTGAACAAAAGCCTGACCGAAGCCAGGCTATTCGAGACCGATTGAGAGGAAAAGGATTACCCACAGGTAAGTGTGTGTTAACAGGAACTTTCTAGACCTTGATCTTACTCTCTTGTCTGTGAAAATGTGCTTCCTGGCTTAGAAATCCAATCAGTTGTAACTGTGGCTCATGAGAATGTAAGGATGCAGAGTGGAAGCCAGGGAACAGAGAAAAACATCAGATACAATACTAAATAAACATTACAGTTCTATAAAAAGCATTAGCTGTCAGAACTCCCACGCACACCTCTGTCCTTTCCAGGGTTTGTTTTCCATCAGTACCATCATTTACTTAGGTTATCAAGGTATTTTATATTAGAGTTAGGTTAGAGCATGGCCAGGTGAGCACATGCATGTCTCTATGAACATGACATCACTGAAGACAAAGTCCAGAGAGCAGCACTGCGCTTACCGAGTGCTCGTGTCCTCTCTTGACTTCACTCTCAATGCTGGTCATCAGTAGTAACCACTGAATTGATTTCATCAGTACGGGGGAGCCTTCTCCTGTCAAATACTGCCATAGGTTATAGGGTGCTCGCTAAATAAATAAATAGTGGTTGCTTATTTGGTGGTAACATGCTATGGATCTGTAATGATTATGTAATGGGCTTTCTTTTAATGCATGGAAATTCTAAATATTTGAGATAAAAGTAGATATAAAAATAGGATTGTAAAATTATTTTTCTTTCTTTCTTTTTTTTTTCAAGGCAAGGTTTCTCTGTGTAGCCCTGGCTGTCCTGGAATTCGCTCTATAGACCAGGCTGGCCTGTTAAAGGCATGCACCACCACCACTCAGCAAAAATGGGATTTTTTTTTTTAAGTGCTAAGAATCAGGCTTGGCTTTTTTATAAAATAAATTTTGATTTTGTAGATTATATTTGTTATTTTCTTTTTACTTCTCATCAAGAATTATTGAAAGGCACGATAACATAAACATTAGCAAGAATATTTTGCTCAAAGAAAAAAATAACAAGTATATTCAAATAAAACATGTTCAAATGTATGCAGTCTAATAAAATAAGTTAGAAAATTAGCATTTCTAATTTTTAATTTAACCAGACAACCAGCATATGGCTATTTTGTTTAAAAAACAAACAACAGAACAACCTTGTGAGAAACCTTTCTTGTAAAATTGAAGTATAGATCCTTGATTATCTGGACTGTTTGCAGAGTTCAGAAATCTCTTAAGCAAAAGGTATGTGCTTTAAACCAGGATCCCATTTCTCCTGAAGTCAAGAGGAGCAGTGCAGGTGTTTCTGTGAGGATTCTGTGGTGCTCTAGTTGGTTAAATGGCCCTTTTCCTGCTTTATTTGCTATAAGTAAAGATTATTATTGTTTCTGAAAAAGTATCTTTAACTTTTGTTTGAAGACAGTAAATTTGGTCTTGGTTAGATCAAGAATCTTTCCTAATATTTATTATTTATGTGTGGATAAAAAGTACAAAGTGAGGTTTGTCTAACTTAGTTTTTAGAATGCCTTGATAGCAGCGAAGGTATTTTTCATCCTTTTACCAGTGTTTCCTTTACTGTCCTCACTCACATCCCTCAGATATGTGGACACATTCTATGGGAAAAGTCTGTCTCTCTTTGTACTGCACTAGGATTTCAACCACGATATAATATGGACATTGGTGCAAAGAATCCATCAGTTTCAGTCACTCTGCTTTGCAGAACAGAATCATAACAATAGAGAATTCTTTATGAGTGTCAGTAGAAGCCACAGCAATCTTCTTTAAGGACTCATCCTCAACACTTCAGTGAGGGGTTAGGCTGGCAATGCTTGCCTTTCTCTGTCTTCCCGCCTCCTTCCTCCCCTTCTCCCTCCTGCGTTTCCTCGTCTGTGGTCCCCACCTCCCCACAGGTTCCTTCTCTACCTTCCCTTTCCTGTTGTGTCTCCAGCCTTCCTGGAGTCCCCCCTATTCTCTCCTGCTGTCAGTTACGTGGTCGTGCAGTGCAGTGAACATTTTATTATGTGTTACTTGCTCATTTAATAAATGCAATTTTATATATTAATGATTAATTATTTTATGTGTTTTGTGTTCTTTCAAGACCTCCCCAGAATGGTGTGATACTTTTGTTCTATTCTATATCTTCAAGGGTCTACCCTGCTGTGTTTCGTTTATGAAATTTAAAGGCTGTGAAATGTTAACACAGTACATTTTATTACCATCAGCATTTCACGGTTTTAATGTTTCGTTATATGGTATTTCAGTGGTGGCAGCTAGAGACTGAACCCAATCCATATCTACTCTGTAGCATAGCCTACCTAGCAGTTTACTTATGTGTTGTTGAATAAGAAGTTATGCAGGATCAGCTTCCTGGACAGAAGGAAAACCTGCTGATACATTATGTTCAGTTTATTTTGTAAATGTTCAATGAATATCCGTTGACTGTATGAGCATGATAAAGAATTTTGTCACAATGTTAGACAGTGAAATGTAGTAGAATCCTGTTTTCATGATGTAACTTTTTACTGTTTTTATAAAGAAATATGTGTGGCTCCTATTATTTCACTGATTTTTAAACCTTGGGTGAGATATGGGTAAAAAGAAAAAGCATCTCACTGTCTTATATTATTTGACCCTTTTCTTATTGTAACAAAGCATTACAAGTTTGAAAATAAGTTTAAACTCCTTTATTTATGACAAATTACTCAGTGGCATTGCTTAATAGAGCTTTAGAATTATGATTCGAGGACTGTTTCAATGCAGGTAATTTTTTACAAACTAACAAATCATTAATAGACATTGATTTTTATTCTGTAAAAGTTATAATTTGTTGCTCAGGTTTAAACCAGATTTTTTTCTACTTCTATTTTGGAGTAAGAGTAGAATCAAGCATTTCTTTCAGTCCCATTTGGAGTAGAAATTGCACCCTTGTTTTGGTTAAATATAGTGGAGGAGGAATCATCTGATGTTTTTGGCCAGTGCTTACACAGTAGTAAGAATACTGTACAGCAGCCATTTTAAGTTCCTTTTTCAGTCTTACAAACTTCAACAAAACTGAAGCGAGGAAAGTATGCTAATTAAAGCCTCCACTGGTCAGAAGCGGTTTACACAATTTCAGAGGTTTAAGACAGGGAAATAATTAACTGTTAAAGGACAGTATTCTAGGATGCTGATGTTCTTTGGGGCACACTTGTTCACTTTCTGGTTACTGGTAGCCCAGTCTCCTGTAATTCTCCATTGCTAGTGAAATACCCTCCTCAATATTCACCAGTTAGAAGTGCCTGTTGACTGGTAGCTTCAGTGTCTTAGGATCCTGATCAAAGTGTTCAATAAGGAAAGCAATAGGACGAGCAGTGAGATACAGAATCAGGTTAAAGAAGCAAGCCAATTTATAGATGATACTTCTATCTATTATTTGATTGCCAATTTAATACCACTTACTATTTTGTGTATAAATGGACCTTGAAAGGTGTCTCTGGAATCTTGCTTCTGAAATCTGTCACAAGAGTGAAGTCCTAAACTGGTGGGCTGTCTGCCCCTACTTTGTTACTTAATACTGCCGGGACTGATAGCATGGTTTCACTAGCCACACACACATAAAACACAAGCATTCTCTGCCAAGTGTTAGGGGAAACCTACACCATCAGATAGGTGGTGACGGCTTCAGACCCTCGGGGGTGTGACTCTTTCTGTTTTCTGTGCGCTTGAACACATTTTTAGGACAGTTGGGGACTCAGGAGCCTCCTTTAACAACTGAAGTTCCCTTCCCAGAGATGTGACGTTTTGAGTGTGTGTGAGAGGGAAAAGGTGACTGATGGATACAAATTTAATTGAAACAATTGGGAATATACCCCATGAAGACTTTTTATATTCTTAAATCTTTTTTTGTTTGTCCGTCTTTTGAGACAAGTTTTGTCTGTCTAGCCCTGTCTGCCCAGGAACTCATTCTGTAAACCAGGCTGGCTTCAAAATCAGAGATCCACCTGCCTCTGGCTCTCAAGTGCTGGGTTAAAGGTGTGTACACCACTTCGCCCTGGTTTTCTTAAATCTTTGTTTGTAGCCTTTCACTCTATATTTATTGCTCCCTATTTGGATTTTAACAAACTGTATACTCTCCAGGAGAGTGTTTGCGGTTTCATTTTAAAATTGGATGCTTATAATTGGTGATAATATGTATCTGTAAATGAGCTCAGAGCCTCCTGAAGAGATAGCAATGTCTACCTTTTATCTTTGGAACAATGTGATGCTCTATTCAAGAACAGATCTGAGGCTTTTATGGGAACCTCCTGATTTCTGATTTTATTATTTTCTCTCAAAGAACTTGTAACTCCCCTCTTGGAAGATAGTAATATACTTAGGAAAACAAGTCAGAAATAGAAAAGAGACAAAATGTAGTTTATATTGCCTTTGTTCAGAAGAGCTCAGAACAGTTCAGATGGGTTAGCTCACTCACTTATCCTGTCATTTCTAAAAGAGAAAATGTTAAATCATACCCACATATTGTAGATGGAGGAAATGAGAAACATGGAGATTGACTGCCTTGCACAAGCTTATGGGTTGATTAGGAAGATAGAATTAAAACCAAAGTCTCTTGATAGTAGTCTTCCTGCTAAATGATGCTGCCTAACCTGGATTTTAAAAGTTCTATAATCAGTCACTCAGCCATCATTCTCTTGGAAGCTATTTTATAAGGAATTACAAATACAAAATGCATTCTTATATAAATATAAGACACAGTTTCTTATTGTTCTGCTTTGAAGTAAGGGTATGGAAAGCTAATGGAAGTGACTGAATAAATAAGGTGAGAGAAATAATGTAGTGTATAGATTCTCACAGCGAGACGCTTGTCCTAATACAGGTGTCTGGTGTGCTCGGCCAGTGCAGTGGAAGGGGCGAGTGTGTCAGGATGAGGAAGGAGCGAGTGTGTCAGGATGAGCAACTTGCACCGTTTCCTTTCGCCTCAGCAACTCCGCCCCAGCGGCAGTGCTTGCAGCAAGAGCGTCGGCTTCACTGCCTGGCAGTGGCCACAGCTGTCACAGCTATCAGCTGTATTGATGATTGCTGGTGTTTATTGATTACTGGGTAAAATGATCCAAATAGCTTGTACGCGTGTTTAGAAATATGGGAAAAGCAGTCCAACAAACGTGTACATTTTATTTAGTCTCAAGTACAAATGATTGAATGGCACTGCTGTTACCAGCACATGCTCTTTGGCCAGCAGATTCAAGCATCGAATAAGCACAAGCCTAGGATGCAGTGTTCCTTCTCACCAGTACGGCTAGGTTCTACATTCCAACCCACATTTATAGTTACTAGGTTAGTGAATTTTTCCTAGTGCCTTAGCAACATAAAGTAACTATGCTGCTATATTATGCTCTTACTTTATTTAGTAAGATTTGTGATTTTCAGAATTATTATTTTATACTAAATCTTTTATTTTACATAAGGAAACCTCCTTTATAAAAAATAACGTCTTATTTTAGAATGTGTGAATCAGGTTGTGCAGGGGAAGGTAGTGAAGAGGGTGTCCGGTTCCCTGGAACTGAGTGATAGACAGTTGTGAGCCGCCATGCAGGGACTGCAGCCTGCACCCGGGTCCTCGTAAGAGCAGCCAGTGCTCTTAACCACTGAGCCGGCTCCCCAGCCCCACTTTTTAGTTGAGACGGGGTCTTAATATATAGCCTATGTTGGTCTTAACTTCTTGGACTTTCAATAGATGTAAACTGAAGTATTTCTGTATCTCATTTATTTTCATCAAAACCATAGAACCCTGTCTGTAAATCAGCAGCTTCCCGAAAGCCATGTAGTTAGCATTTCCTTTAGGCTTGTGTGGTCTGGAGATGCCAAGACCAGTTAATATGTTGTTATAAATACTAACAATCTAACTCAGACATGACTTCTCTCTATCAAGTCGAAGAGACTTGCAGTGCATTGGTAAGTGTTTTGTTTACATTACAGTGTCATTAGGGTTGGTTGGCTGCTTTGAAGAAGTGCCATTTAAAATAAAACAGTTGGGAGCCTGGAGAGATGGTTCAGCAGTTATGAGCACTGGCTTCTTCCAGAGGACCTGAGTTCAATTCCCAGCACCCTGATAGTGCCTTACAACCTTCTGTAACTCCAATCCCAGGAGATCCAGTACCTTCTTCTGACCTCTGTAGACACTGCACACATGTGATGCACATACATACAAGCAAAATACCCATACACATACAGCTGAGTAAGTTAATTGATTTTTTGAAAAGATTAAAATAAAACTACTGAATGCAAGGAAACTGGACATGAGAAAGATCCAGAAAAGAGACAAAAGTATATATTTTTATATTTACATATATAAGAGCACAACAGAGAAAAGCAAAGAATTCCTGGGGCAGAACTAGGTTTTCAATTTACGAGTGATAGGCTGGCTGTGATTTGTTGAACAGGACAGTGACATGGTGGAATTTGCATTGTAAAAAGAGAATTCTGGATGTTGAGTGGAGTTGATAGAAACAGGGTCCCAACAGTGGTCTAGCCAATCGATATTATTCATTGGGTATGATGCAATGGCAGTGGACTTGGAGATTAACACACCAAGTAAGGTGTCTTTGAGAATTTTAAAATCAGTAATTGCCGATGGAGCTAAGGAAGACGCGTCATTTAAGGACAGTGCCCGTATTTCCATTTTGAGTAATCATTTGGGTAATAGTGCCACTTACAGTATTAGGAAAGATTGGAAGGGAATGGTCACTCTGGGAGCAGAAAGCAAAAGTTGAATTTGAACTCTGAACAGTTTGAGTTGCTTCTGAGGCACAGTAGAAGAAGCTCCAGTTGTGTGAGACCAGAGTTTCCCCAAAAAGATTGGGTTGAAGAAAGTGAACGTGGGAGTTTTTCAAATCCAGATCATATTTAAAATATTAATAAAATTTTATAAGGAAAAGACAAAAAAGGAATTCTGAACCTGATACTTGAGTAAGCCCAACATTTGGAAACACATTAAAGGATCAGGAAAAATCAAGAGTAAGAGGGAGAAGCAGCCCCGGCAGGGAGCCAGGTGTGGAGGAGAAAGGTCGCCTGTGAGAGGCCTTCACCTGAGCAGCCCCTGAGCTTGGCAATGCGAAGGCCCCAGTGCTGCGGGATGAGGGCCACCCAGGTGCAAAGTAGCTGGAGCCCGACAAAGTCGGGAAATCAGGAAAGAAAAGAGGAATTGGAAAGATGGCAGCTGAAGGGAAATGTGCAACGGGAGGAGTCTGTCCTTTGAGAAAGATTAGGTTAGAGTTGTCTACTAACGGGAAAGGCGCGATAAAGAGGGGAAAATAGTGCACATAGCAGAGGAGTTAGCCAGAGACAAATACTGTTTGGCAGCAGTGAGGGAAACTCAGAATACATGCAGGCAGCTTCGTGTTCCCTTGGAAACAACAGGGACAGTACCATAATCCAGGTGAGAAGACACTCCTCCCGGAGGGGCTGTTTCCTTGATGGGAAATGAGGTGGGGTTGTCAGCTAAATGACAGACTGAGGAAAAGCGGAGCCGTCGAAGAAAGTGAGTCAAGGGAACAGAATGGTTGAGCGTGAACTTAGGGTGTGTCAGTAAACCCTGCTTGAGTTTTCCGGAGTTCTCTACTCGCCTAGAGTCGGGCAGCAGAAAGCAGGAGGATGGCTGCGTTTGTGTGTGGCTCATGACCCTTGAATCCTCTCAGTTCTTTGATTTTTCAGCTTATGTATTCTGTCAGCTTCCAAGAATATGTCTATTTTGAAGTTCATACAATTTTAAATTTGCTAGTTTCAAGATGTGGTGTGTGTAAGAATGTTACTTACCCCTAAAGGACTGTGGTACAGCCATGCTCACAGCTAGAAGCTCGATTTTGTAATAATCTGCCTGGGTGTGGTATAGTATGTTTTCTAGTGTCCTGTAGATTCCGTACTTCAAGTATGGAAGTTGTCCATAATCGTTATGCTTAATTAGATCCATGTTTGCTGGAACATGAAATACAAACGGCATGATGTTTATATTGCTATTGTTGCATCAACTGATGTAAATTTACTGTCATATTTTTAGGGTAAATTTGTTATCAAGGAATTAAACATTATAGTTATTACTTCAAAGTGACAACTGGTAGGCTCAAATGAATTTGCAAGCAATTTCTTGTTACGAAGAAGGATCCAGTCATATTATACAGCATGTTTGTTTTCTTTTTTTTTTTTTTTTTTTTTGGTTTTTCGAGACAGGGTTTCTCTGTGTAGCTTTGCGCCTTTCCTGGAGCTCACTTGGTAGCCCAGGCTGGCCTCGAACTCACAAAGATCCGCCTGGCTCTGCCTCCCGAGTGCTGGGATTAAAGGCGTGCGCCACCACCGCCCGGCTTGCATGTTTGTTTTCAAAGGGAAATCACAGAATAGACCAGAGAAAGTTGTCATGTTGTGGGGCTACTGAGGTGGCAGCTTCAGAATACTTCCTACATTTTTTCAGTACTGGACAAATACCGTTTTTGGGTGTTGAGTCTGTTGATTCATAGAATTAATCTATCTGAATGGACATTTTTGATATGTCTCCATAGAACTTTGAAAACCAACAGGATAGACACTTGGTTTATGACTCTGCAGAACTCTAAAGACAAAGCTGACGTGGGAGTTGCCGCTGGCAAATAGGGGTGCATTCCATTCAACAGGAAGAAAGTTTAGTCTCTGTAATAGTCATCATGAAAAATTGGACTTCTTCAACAATTTAGATGGAAATTATCTGGGTTTCAGATACAGTAAAGTTTTCTGAAAACATCTAGTTATAGTAAAATCTTGAACTTGATAATTCCATGTATTACAATTTTCTTCCTATTCAAAATAGAAACAATTCTATTTCTTCAGTTAAACATATTTATTTAAAAGATCAGAATATACCAGGATTTTTTTACCTTGGAAACACATTTTAAGTTACATTTCTAGAAGTTAAAAGAGTATATTATGCATTATATTATTCCCAATAATTTCATGGATAACTACTGTTCTATAAAATTAGATGTTATTAACAACTTTTGTCTTCATTTTAAAACAAAATAGTTTACTTTTTGTTGATAGAAACAATACTACTCAAGGGCATATGTTCAATATATTATTTATGTTGCTCTGTAAGGGACATTGTGGTGCAGGCATGGCTCAGCGGTAGAGTCTTGAGGGGAGAAGGGCCCAGGTTCAGTCCCCAGTAATGCCAAAGCAAAGCAAAAGAAAAAAAGACCCTGGACTCAAACTGTTGCGCTGTTTCCACTCTCACTCTCCCGTCGTCCCTTTGTCTCCGACCCTCCCTGGGATAACTTGGGGAACTGGCAGCATGTTCATTGTTAGCAGTGGGTTCATTCCAGCTGATTTTCTAAAGATTCTTATCATTCCAGGAAGAAGCTCCACTTCTGATGTACTAGACATGCACAAGGCTCCATTCTCTCATCAGACTTTTCTTAACAAAGGTCTTAGTAAATCTATGGGATTTCTGTCCATCAGAGACACACAGGATGAGGAAGGTTCCTTCAAGGACACCCCATCTGATAATAATTCCAGGCATGAAGATTATGAGACTGTCTCTTCCCCTTACCAGTTCAAAACTAGCAGTCCACAAAAAAAGGTTTTCCCTGGAATCGACGTGCTGTCTAAGAAGAAGGTCTGGGCTTCATCCATGGACTTACTTTGTACGGGTGACAGAGACTTTTCTGGAGAGACTGACAGGTACCAACACTGTGACCCTGAGGCAGTAACAGGACGGACTTCACCCACTCCTAGAAAAAAAGAGGCAAGGTACTCTGATGGAAGCATTGCCTTGGATGTCTTTGGCCCTCAGAAAGTGGAGCCAGTGTATCACACTCGAGAAGCGCCAACCTCCTCTGCAGTATCAAGTGCTTTGGACCGAATTCGAGAGAGACAAAAGAAACTTCAGGTTCTGAGAGAAGCCATGAATGTAGAAGGTTAGTAATTCTGTGTATGTCTGAGAGTCAAGTGAATTAAACTATCTAAGGTTGTGTTTTAAAATAAAGAAGGGTGATTAAACCATTCCACAAGTCTGATTTCCACTGCCGGGCCTTTCCATCTAGGTCACATTGACTTCTCTGTCAGTTTCTGTTCACTCTTCTATTGAAACCCCGACCAGCCTGTGCTCCAAAGCCCTCCCTACAGCATGCCCCAGGGACTCCACTTCTAGACTGATCCTCAAGGTCAGGCACCTTTCTGTGCTGGGGGCTGTCTCTGCAGGTCTCAGGGGGTGCTGGCTCTGGCTCGCAGTGCTCAGAAGCAGTGGGGCACTCAAGCTCAGGGAGGTGAGCTAGCGCGCTACCAGGTGGGCTCCAGACCACCAGCTTCGGAGTACAATGACAGGCATGGTTGGTTTGAAGTAAAGTTTGAGATCTGCTTTTCTAAAATCACAGCGTTTAGGTGTATAGATTGAAAGTTAGTCTAGATTTGAATTGTTATACCGTTTCATGTCTATGAGTTATCTTCCCTAGTCTGAGTTACGCCATCTATAAAATGGAGCTAGCAAAAATAGGCCAATTAGATCATGAGTGTGACGTAATTAAACAAGTCATTTATTACATTTTTAATTTGAAAAGCATAAAATCAACTTTGTAAGTTATATATAGCATGGTCTTGCTGTGTCGTGTTGGCTAGCCTCCAACTCTGAGATAAGCTTGACCTCTGTCTCACCAGCGCTGGCCTTGAAGATGTGCACCACCATACCCAGCGCGTGTTCTTATTATTCTGTATGAAAGCTGTCTCCAAAATCTCTGCGTCAGACACACAAAAAATCAGTATATTGAGTTAAATAAAGTTATGTTTGAAACATAAGGATGGTGGCTACTTGAGCATCATAAATGCATGCAAGAGAAAAATGGATTTTCAGTTAAACCCACACACATGAACACAGCTGCCCTGGAACTCATATGTAGACCACACTGGCCAAATCCCAAAGTATTTTAGGATGAAAGCTTTATAACTTCCCATTTCTTTGTCACAACTGTATTGTTATTGTCATAGCTATTTGAAAAGAACTTTATAATGCTTTCTATTTAGAATGAGGAGTAACGATTGAGGACATGCTATCTTTTGTTTGTGTAGAGGATGTTTGTTCATGTGTGTAGATGCATGTGCCTTTGTGTGTATATGGAGGCCAGAGATTAGCCTTCATGTGTGTACAGAAGATGCTTGTTCACGTGTGTGTAATTCCTGTGCTTTTGTGTGGGTGTGGAGCCAGAGATCAATCTTGAGTGTTGTTCCTCAGGAGCCATCCACCTTTTTTTTTTTTCAGAAAAGATTTTATTTTATTTATTTATTTGGTTGGTTGGTTGGTTTGGTTTTTCGAGACAGGGTTTCTCTGTGTAGCTTTGGTGCCTGTCCTGGATCTTGCTCTGTAGACCAGGGTGGCCTCAAACTCACAAAGATCCGCCTGGCTCTGCCTCCCGAGTGCTGGGATTAAAGGCGTGCACCACCACCGCCCGGCTTTTATTTTTATTTTTAACTGTGTATGTAGATGGGGAGTGTGATGTTGTCAATTTGAATACAGTATTCTCAGAGGCCAAACAAGGACATGAGATCTCCTAGAGTTGGGAGCCATTGCATGTGGTCTCAGAGCCTAACTTGGTCTCCTAGAAGTGTGTGCACTTAGTTGCCGAGCCACCTCTCTAGTGACCACCTTGTTTTCTGAGACAGGGCTTCTCACTGGACCCAAAACTCTGAGGAAACAGCAAGCCCCAGGGATCTGCGTATCCCTACCTCACCTCATTCCACCCCCACCCCCCATCGCCACAGTGCTAGGATCGTAAGCCTCGTTACCACGCCTGGCTTTTATGTGGGTGAGATCAACTCAGGTCCTCTTGTGTGCACAGCAAAGAACTACCCACGTCCCCACCCCAAGCCCATGACTGTCTTAAGTAGTTGTTTTAGTACGGCTTGTCCATAGGCTGCCTTCCTTCTGCTACAGGCCTGTTCTGTTGCTTAAGTTGAAGCATGTTCTGTCCTAGTAAAAGACATATTGCAGTGTTTTCTTCAATGCTGGAATTGCAAATTACTAAAGAATCTAGAATTATGGAAGAAATAATGGGTATTTAATTGATACTGTGAGTTTGTATATAATATGCGTCTTATAAAGCATTAGTGACTTTATGAGGTAATTTAGTATATTCTTTACATGTTTGTGAGTGCTCCATGTATGTCTGTGCACTGTGTATGTGGCTGGTGCTTGTGGAGGCCAGAAGAGGTCATCGGATCTCTTGGAACTGGAGTTTCAGATCGTTAGTGTAACCACGTGGGTGCAGGGACCCAGACCCAGGTCCTCGGCAAGAGCAGCAAACACTCTTACCTGCCAGGCCATCGCTCCAGCGCTGGTGCTACGTATT